ACACAGGCTGCTAAGCATTTTTGAGAGGAAAAGAGGTCATAGCAAACTGCAAACAGGAACGCTACAGGTGTGGAAGGCCTCAAATAGTATAAACAATGTATACAATAATATAATCAACACTAGTATAAATGAAATTGGTGGATGAATGTTTTTGTTAATAAGTCACAATCTTTTGCTACAGTTTTACATTTATCTCATTTAATTAATATAACCTGCATTTTCAACTGTTTATTAAACATCACCTACATGTTCTATCATTCCCACAAATTTGGTGTATTCAAAATTTGAATTCTTAACCTCAAACGTGCCTCACCTAATTGTTATCTTCTACTTCACTAAACAGTATCATTGTAACCTAAAGGCGTCAGCCTGAAATTTACACACCATCCTGACTCTTCATTCTTCCCCACTTCCGCCTGACCCAAACCTATCTCTTCTAACTTCGTGGTGTACTGCAAAACTGGAGATGAGTGGAAGACAAAAGTTATGATTTTAGAGAAGTTTTGAAGTGAGTATAATCTTGGTCATCAAAAAGTGAAGTAGAAAATTCATATATGCAAATAAAAACCATGAAGAAGTAGGACACCTTGGATATGAGCAACACCTTGGATATGACCAATTTAAGTGCTACTGACTTATGCCCACAGTCTCTTTGTGTTTCCTTTACCAGTTCCTCAACCACATTTCACAGGACACTCAAAAGTCCCTTACAGAAAAGGTTGACACTGCTACCTCTACCAGAAAGACCTTCTTCCCGACTCAACACTAGGTCCATCTCACACATTATTTCCTTCAGTGGTCCTATTTCTCCAGCTAAAATTCATTCCTTCTTACTTCCTGGAGCCTTTATCAATCCCTTTCCATGCAATCTAAACTTTTTAAGCGAGACATTGTGATTCCTACATAAAGATAAATATTTACAGTAAAGTGTACTGTAAAGTGTAAGTGTACACAATGAAGGAACAGGATGAAACTGTGGCCTCGATTAGTGGTATAAAATCCCTTTTGCAAGAACCTTCTGGCAGTGGTTCTCAATCTCATATGCACAATGAGATCACTTGGACAATTCTGTAAATATTGATGGCTGGGCCTTGAGTGCAGCCTGAGCTACTGAGGTTTGTAAATATTCTCCACATGATTCTGACAAGCAGACCAGACTGACGAGTACTACTTTATAGGAGACATAAAAAAGGTAAAATATTAATACTAGATTTTTAAACAGAAGGAAAGATCTTGGTTGCTATCAGATAATAAGCAGCCAATACAGTTTGACTATTAAGTGGCTGCTCTGGAATAGAAGTAGTGAAAGTAAACAGTAGGGAGGATTAAAGCAAATAAATGATACTGCAGGGGTTTTGGAGGCAAAGAAATCATTTTGGAGTCACTAAAATAATGTATAAGTGGTTCCATGCTGAAGCTAGAAAAGAACAGAAGGGTTGGAATGAGAGCCAATCTCATCTCCATCCCTATTTCAGGCTTATTCTTGGCTCTAGTGGCAGAGATGAGATGTGCAGCAAATTCAGAGAGGGAATTCAGAGAAAGATGCTCTAAACTGGCAAGTTTTCACAGATGACAAAATCTAATGTGTGGCAACAATGGTGTCCTGCTGAAATGGAGGGGAAACTCACAAGTGTAGAGAATTTTTAAAATTAGGGTGACCTGGTCATCAACAGTAATAAAGAATATTCACGGTGGCATCTAAAATCATCAAGAGACACAGTAAATATGGATAGCAGTGTCCCTATAAGAAGGGGAGGCTTGGGAGGACAGGTAGTTGGGGAAGAACTCTGACACTTTTGAGGAAAAGCAGATCAGCTGCTCTTTCACTAATGTGCCTTACTCTTCTCCCCACAAAAGTTCTTGCTTTTTAGAAATCCAGATATACATTTTAAGATATTCTTGCGCTGGTAAATGTAATAACTAAAATTTTTTCATCGCTAACAACTAAACCTTACAAGAAAATGGAGTACTATAATTGCTAAACTGGGGAAAGGGATGTACTTCTAAAATACAACAGTTGCTAATGGCAAACAAAGGAATGAGAGGATGAAAGTGTCATTAAAATGACCCCAGATAGAATCAACAGATGAAGACTTCCCCTTGGCATCAATGCTTCCCCAAACTCTGATTCTTTTCATCTATTTAATTCTTGGTCTGCTGTTTCAGAAATCTGTAAATTTGGAGGAGGAGAGACCACTTTAAGCACACACTAAGCTTAACTACCAAAAGAGCCAAACCTCTGTCTCACTAAATCCTTTGAAGGCCTCACATTACTGTAAATAAAAGTAGACCAACATTAGATTTCCCATTGCTGGGACACAACACTTGATACCCAGAACTTAACACAGACTTTTTTGTTTGTTTGTTTGTTTGGTGTGTGCGGAGTTTAATGGGGATTTGGTCTATGGTCAGCTGGCTCCAAGGCAGAAACCTCACTGTAGAGGTTTTTGGGTGTTCTGGGTGTGCAGCAGAGCAAAGATGCTTAACTCAGGGTGGCCAAGAAAGCAGGAGGAGAGGGACCAGACATTGACCGCAAGGCTACACTTCCACCCAGAAGAATGTGCATTCCAAAGCCAACCAAGTTGACACTCAGCCCTAACTGCCACACCAACATTTATCTACAGGACAATTACAACAATTCCATAGCAAGAGGCAAGGATATTACCATTATGTTGTGACTTTTAACTACCACATCTATACACAGAATAATTTCATCCAGATATAGTATCACTCAATTGCAGGTAAAGAATGCTAGATTATTTTCACTTTTGTAAAATATGAAAGCTAGTTTATTCTAATAGTGGTGAATAAAATAGATTTAATTTTTATAAAGAATGCCGACTTCCTACTGATCAGGACGTAGGGAATAAAACTGATAACCAGAGAATGCAAAAACTAAAACAGGCAAAATGCAAAGGAAACCCATTATAATACTCCTATTAAGGGCAAAATAATTCACATTACTATCACACATCATTATGGCAAAATATATTTGCATCACTAGGTACAAGAGAAAATGGCACAGCCCAGAGGACAGGTAAAAATATACCAGAATGAGTAATACCTAATATTTGACATAGCAGAGCTATTTCCAGGTTATGGTTATTAAACCCAGGGTAAAAGTGGTTTACTGATCTGTTTACATCATTCTGCACACAAGGATTAAAACTGCTGTTTTGTTCTGACATATCAGAAACAACTATGTACACAGTCCACTCCCTGGTATATGCAAAGCACTCAACAGAGAAAGTTCCTGAGTTTAGAAACTTGACACCCTGCACCCTGCTGCCAAAATAGATCCTGAAAACCTTCAAAGAATATTAATTGAAAAGTCTCAAAAAAAAAGATAAGCACACTCTGTAAACATTCAACATCCATATTAAGAAAAGCAATCTTTTATAAAAGTGAACACACGTTCATTTCTTATACATGGAGGTAAGTCGAGTGCAACTTGACAATGATGGACAAAGGAAAGGAAAAGAAGGGAAAGAAAACCAGAAACAAGGGTTCAGAGGAAGAGTGAAAGGGAATAAGATGGCACACTCACACTATGAGTGAAGACAAATTTCCTCAAGTACTAAGTCTAATGTGGAATAAAGACCCCATAAGAATTTGCTAAGTGCTGCAACAATCCCAGAACTCTGAGTCCGAGGACTGCCATTACCACTGGACACACTCATTTCCAGAGCTCTGATGATTCCCTTGGGTGACTAGGGGAAATTCCTGGCGCCATCCTCTCGGCTGTCAGCCCCAGCAGCACACATAATAACAGTGGCCAGTCTAGCAGCAGCATCTTATCCTGGTACGGGAGCTGGTCCTCCCAGAGGTGGCTCCATAAGGTCCGCAGTATGCTCTCTCTTCCTGTCTCAGAGTAAACACAAAATGGCACTTGAAACAGTGTTCCTGCTACATCGCCCAGTTCTTTCAAAGACCAGCTCTTGTGGCTAACAGTCTAATCTCTCCATCACTGGGTAAAAACGCCTGCATGTACCACAGAAGGCATCATGCCAACCTGGTCATCTGCTCAGATGGTGCTATGACCTGACCCTTGCTGGCCTTGGTGAGTGCCCCTTCTCTACTACACAGCTGCAGCCACCACCTGCTCTGCTACCTGTCTCTGAATTCTTGGATGGGCAGCTTAGAACAATGAACAAAATCCTTCTGCACTCAGTCTCTCTCCAGGATAACACAAAAATTCAATCAGTGTTAGGCTGGCAGACTTCAAAGTTTCTCATTAAAATTCTGCTAAACCACAATGCTAGTCAAACTAAACTATACTGAAAAATTCTGAAGTGTAAGTATTTCATTGTAAGCCAAGAACATTAATTTGGAATGGCTGGTATACATGTGAAATAAATAGATCATGACTAAGTATCACACAAGTTCTGCATCATTTAAATCTATGTATTATGACCACATAGATGTTATATGTAATACTAGGCAGAGAACAGACAGTATTTCATTTTAAAGATGGCTTCTACTGTGCAGACACATATTACAGAAAATGTATTAAATGAAGAGAATGACAATAATAAAATTAATATCAAGAATAACAATTGATCAAGATAAATAATAAAATTCTACACAGCAAAATTTTCATGCCAATGGGAAAAATGCACAATGACATCAAAATTAATATACTATACTATAAACATATTATGAAAATATAAATTTTACTCTTCTTAGCACATAAAAGAAACTGTTTTCAAGGTTAATTGAGGCTTTCTATATTACAAGGGACACAAAAATACATTTTCTTACTAAAGCCCAACACTGTACACACACAAAAATATTTAGAGAGAAAAATGCCCTTGTCTTTAACATGCATGTGTACATAGAAATAAGCTCATGTATACTCATGAGAACAAAATACAATGACAAAAAGTTATGTTTGGCAAATCTCAAAAAATGCTGCTAGACCTTTTCTTTCCCTGACTTTAAGCCCTAACAAAGAACACAGAAAAGTACCAAAGTAACAGAAAAGGACATATAGACCACACTTCAAACAAACTGCTTATCAGTGTTAGGACCTGATTTGACAAACAGATTTAATCTACTTCCTCAAAGGTCATGCTGTCATGGTGAAGGATAAACAGTTTCCCCTATTGAACTGGGCTTGCTGTTACTATCCAGAGAAGTGGGGTGTTCTTCTGCATCTGGCATTCTTTCAGGGGTAACTTCATTATTTGTCTCCTCTTCCCTAGGTGACAGGGTTTCAGTTAATTCATTTGCCATTAGAACTTGCAAAGATTCTATTCCATCTTCAATGTTCACCTGAATCCCCAAAGTTTTTAGAATGTCACATTTGCACATGGGGCACGTGCCGTGGGCTAGAATCCAAGGGTCAATACAATTCTTGTGGAAAATGTGCTTACAAGTCAGAATGCGAATTGTATCATTAGGTTTATATGGCTCAAGGCAAACTACGCAGCTATCTCCACTTGGATTTAATTCCTCATCCCCTTCCTTTAATACCCGAACCTGGAGGTGGCCAAAAGCTTTTTTAAGATCTGTGGCTAATTGCTGCCATCTCCTGCTCTGATTCCTTGCTACCCAAAGTCTATGAATATGATAAAAGGCAAAATATGTTAACGTAGCAGTAGTGACAATCAAGAAAGAGACAAAGTAGTGATTCATCCAGATGACATATTTTCTCCCCACCTCAACTGTAACTGTAACAGGAACTCCCGTCTGAATTATATGCAGAAGTTTCATTCCTTTTAAGTTGCTAATCAAAACTACAACAGTGTCTTCAAAAGGTTGATGAGACATAGGGGAAAGCTGATTGCCACTTCCTGGAAAGTTATAGATGACCACTCCACTGGCTCCCTTCTCAGTTGCCACCTTAATTTTCTGTGTGAAGTTACAACCGCCCCGTTCAATAAGTGCAAGCCATGTCTCTGAGTTCTTTGGTGTGCTGAAACTGGTATTGGGATTACATGCATTTTTATTTTTTCCATCTGGAGGCACTAGAACGCCTGTCACTCTCTTCAAAGTGGAGCTTTTTCCGAATACTCCAGTTTCCCCTACAACTGACAACACGCGGTTCCCAACACGAAATGATATGTTCATATAAGCAGTCCAAACTGCATCAGCTTTGCAACAGTTCAGGGTAAAAAGCCAAAGAAAACTGAATTTCACAAGCCAGGAGGAAGAGCTGTTTTGTCCAGTGCCAATCTTAAGGAGTTTCATCTCTCTCTTTGCTTAATAATTTAAGAACTAAAGCAACAAAAAGATGTGGCTTCTGCATCTGTTGACAATCAATTTAAAACAAGAAGGAAAAGGGATCCCAAGAGATCTTTCCTGGGAGAAAACAAGATCCGCTGTCCTTCAGCATGCTTTTGTACAAAATTCTTAAAGATGTCTTGAATTTCAGATGTTTTATTTGAGAGACAGAAGTTTTACATTGAAAAAAATCTCTAGTCTCCCCATTGTAACTTTAGCTACATTGTAACTTTAGCTACCACCTACTATTGCATGGTGTGATTATGACATAAAAGACCAAGTAGCCAATTAGATAAGAGCTTAGAGAGAGCTGTATATCTATTGGCTTAAATGTTTCCAATGTTATTATAGGTGGTTTCTGTGCTATTAAAGGATAGATTCAATCACTGAACTACTTATGGTTGCAGGTAGCACACTGAATATAAAATTGATGTAATGTATATACCTTAAAACTCAAAGCATATGCAAAAACACTGTACAACTATCATTTTTCCTCACAAGAAAATAATTCCAACAAATGACAAGTTGGTTCTTTTAAAAATAAATAAGTTAAAAACCAGTATTTTGATCATGTGTGAGGTAAAAGTGGTAAGTTTGGTAATGCTAGCTTTACATCACATCTGATCACAGTGTTAATTTGTTATCATAGAAACCACTGTACTATTTAATATAAACTTTATCAGAAGTTTGTTGGTTTTGTCCTACTTTGATTTTTTAAATTAGGGCACCCTACTCTACTTTTGTTTCCTTTTTTTACATTTACACTGATTACATGCACACATGACAAAAGAAAAACAGAAAGACTAATATCTAGGGAAGCTCTTTTTATTTTTGTTTTTCAGGCCGTGACAGCTATTACCAATACAATGCAAACCACATACTGATGGAAGAGGAGACAGGGTATAGAGGAAAGATTATACACAAGCATTAGTTGAGTAAAATTCACTTTTTTTTTAAAAAAAGGAGCTATTAATTTCAAAAAGAAAAATTGCAAGGCCCACACTTAAAGTTGACCACTGACAACAGTGAAGGTTAAAGGCCATAAATTGATTTTAACAAAAATTTTGACCAAACTCAACAAACATTGCTAATGGAAGAGCCAAAATATACTGTCAGCTCTCCCTACAGTTTTGCTACCTAGAGTAGGATGCCCTCACGTCAGTGCACACTATGGCTTGAAGCTAAAGAATGGTTTATCAAGTAACATGGTCCACCACACACTTTCTTGGTAGTACCTTTCAGTGGTTGCTCAGAAAAAAACAAACTAAAAAAACCTTTTACCTTGAATGTAAATGTCTCTGCCTTATTTAACATTTGATGCTTAAAGGCAGTTTTAGTTGGGCCTCACCAGGATAAGACAGCTGGTAATTTTATGAAATGTTAATCAACAATATGGCAATCTGAAGCAAAAAAAGACAAAAAAAGCCAAGGCTCTACAAACCCAATAAAAAGTGGTATACACAGGACAGTATATTAACGTGACTTTTTTAGCTTAAAATAGTTCATTGACTGTAAGGTCATTTAATTTTATTTCATTTCTACACAAGTCACTATTTTAAAAAAAGTACAGTAGATGCTGTGTAGATTCTCAAAGTATCATCTAAATCTGACATCAAAGGTTTAGCACATTGTCCAGAAAGAGTGATTTTCATCAAAACAAAAACCAGATTCATCAGCTTTTCATTGTTACACAGGTGTTTATTCATCAACTAGAAAAGGGAGAGAGGTAAAATATGGCAAAAAATATAATACAGAAAGGCAACTGAGCAAAATTTCAGCTTTGTTTGTTATATAAATCCCAAGGTGAGAAATGTTCACTGCCATTTGGAGAAGAAAGAAAAAGCATCCATTAAGGACACTTTTGGAAGAAATATCTGCTACCATAACTGATTCATTATGTTAGGATTTAAAGAGCTTTGGCAAATAGAGGTGAATTTTTGCATTGCTGTTCTGAGGCCCATAATAATTTATAAGTTGTAGTTACTTAACCCAAAGTACCATTATATAAGATAATTATTTATAATATATTACCCACCCAATCAGTAGCTCTGAAAAACAAATTTTCTGGATATTAATAAAATTAACTGACCAAAGTGAATTAATTATAATGAAGTTTAATGAGCAGAAAAAAAATATGTTACTAAAGACCGAAAGTAAGGAAAATCTGAAAACAAAGTATAAAAATTAATATTTTAAAAGCAGCAACTTTAAAATAGAACTTGTCCCCCATTGAACTGATGTCATAATCAGTAATTTGTTGATCAGATTATATTGTTTATAACATATGCTAATGTCCTTATTTGAAGAAAGGCAAAGATATATAAAAATTAGAATTTATTAGAAAGACAACATCCAAATATCTGGAAATGAAATGGAGTTTTATTTTTATAACACATAAATTCACCTTCTTTAGTACTTGGGTAGAGAAGCTGATTTGACACTTTCTCTCCATATAAATTGAGGTAAGAGAATTCATCTAATCTCAACCTTCAGAAGGTTCTCTGTGCTTAAGTTTTCAGGATGTCACACTTGCACATGGGGCATGTCCTATGGGCTAAAAGCCAGGGGTCAATGCATGTCTTATGGAAAAAATGTTTGCAAGTTAAAATACGTACTACATCTTGAGGTTTGTATATGTCAAAACAAACAACACAAGTATCCTCATGTGGATCTACCTCTTTATCCCCTTCTTTGAGTACTCGAAGCTGAAGCTGACCAACAGCTGTCCTCACTTTGGCCTTCACTTGTCTTCGCCTCCTGGCGGAGTAAATGGGCACACCAGATCTCCAGGCACAGTACAAGAAAATGTAAGCAACGGTGGCTGACAGAAAGGTAAACAAAAACATGACACACTGGTTCAGCCAGGGTATGTGCACTCTCCCCACTTCGATGATGATGTTCACATAGACGCCTTTCTGAATCAAGTGCAAGAGTTCCATGCCTTTTAGGTTGCCTATCATCACGGCCACTATGTTTTCTGTTCCCTGGTGAGACATAGGAAATACTTTGTTGCCAGTACCTGGATAGTTATAGATGATCACCCCATTTGCTCCCTTCTCTGCTGCCACATTGATTTTATGTGTGAAAGTACAGCCTCCTCTTTCAATGAGGGCCAGCCAAGAGTCTGCCTGTTCAGGTCTGCTGAAATTGGTGAATGGATTACAAGCATTCTGATTCCATCCTTCAGGAAGTACCACGGCACCCGATACTCTTTCCAGAGGAGAATGGTTCCCGAATACTCCACTTTCTCCTAGTTCTGATATGATCCGATTTCCCACCTGGAATGTTATGTTCAGATGAGCTGTCCATATTGCTTTTCCTCTGGAGTCAGGAAGGCTGAGTAGCAGAAGGATGCTAAGCCTCAAGAGCCGAGATGAAACAGAACTAGGAGTTGAAGGATTAAGGCTACGTGGGTTCATCCTTCTATCTGCCTACTAACTGATAGTGATAAAAAACAAAAAACATCACTTGTAAAAGAAAGTAAAAAAGTTAGACAGCTTCAATTACTGGCAGTAGATTGCTAAAGCACATAAGTGGAAGAGGTCTGTGTGGATCAAAGATATTTTGCTCCTTCTGGCATTTCCATTTTTGGCATATTATCTTATGATGAGACTAAAGAGCAAGAGTTACTATTATGCATTTTCAAGAAAATTATGACTTCTTAATGAAGAAATTGTGACATCAGAGGTAGTTAAACCAATCCAGGAGTTTATAGTAATGCACTGCATAATGAAACTGAATTGGCCAAAAAGGTATTAAACAATGATTCAAGATAAATATATATACATAATATGAACTCTAAAGCAATATATATGTAAGCATCTTTTAAAAACCCTTGAGTTTTCTCTTCCTACATATGAATAGATTGAAAAGGTACTTAACTATTTTTTTCCTATCTTAAGACAGGACAGAAATGATTCATGCATTAGTGCCATACCAGGTTGGGTGCAAGGTCTCATGTATGTTTCCTTATCAACTGATCTGTCACTCTGGGGGAAAAGGCAACAAATCATTCCTACTTCCTTCCAATGTTAAGTAGGGTTCGCAGCTTTACCAGGCCTGAAAATTCAATATGATGGAAATGGAGTACAAACTCATAAGCCTGATAAGTCCTATCTTTAAGCAAATGCAACTTCACTCACTGAAGCAGTTGCTGAAAACCTACCATGTGCTACAAATACTGAGGACCTAGTACTAGAAAATAAATGGAGCTTATGATATGACGGTAGATTTGAAACCAATCAACACATTTCACTCAAAATTATGTGAGGCTTTTCACAAAAGGACAGAATATCAAAAGACAGAATAAATGGAAAGGGGTGCAAACAGCGTGGGGGATCAAGGCATACCTCTCTAAGAAAGTACTATCTAGTCTGAGTCTTGCAAGATAAATCAGCTACAAAACAAAGAATAGAGATTTCAGTCAGAGGAAATAGCAGCTTCAAGATTCTTTGATAATAAGGAACACAGCAAGTTAAAGGATCTGAAAAAAGTGAGCTCAGTAAAGAGAGGACAGATGATGAAGGAGGAAAGGCAAACATTAACCACATTCAGGTTTCTAAAAGTTACACTGAGGCATCTAGATTATGCCCCCAGGACAAGAGAAACACACTATAGTGTCCTCAGCCTGGAAAGTGACTTAAATATCTCTCAAACTATTCATTGTCTTTTATTTAAATCCTCACCTCAAGTCTGTATCACAGTGAACAAACTGACAATATTCATTCAAACAATTATCTACTACGTACAGGATGCCTACCCATGTGCACCAGCCATGCTGCAAGCTCTGAGAATATGAAAGGAAAATCTGTTTGCTCATGAGCAAAACAGACTCAAACATTTAAAACACAGTCATGTTGGGAGAATTTTCCCATTTTGACACAAAACTTTTTTATACCCTGTGCCCCATATTTTAGTTAATATTTGCTTTTAAAAATAGAAACTGGTCAAATTCCCCCATTCCTATACTTTTATTCAGGTATGATTCACTTCATTTCTGGACCATCCTTACAGATACATTTTTTCTATGTTCAAATGGAAGGTCAATTGCTCACTGACAATCTATTAACATCAATAAACTGAAGCCTCACTAAGAATACAGTTTAAAATCATCACACTAGGGGCTGTAAAATAATTTGTATTTATTTTTTGGGGGGGGTTTTTTTTTGGTTTTTTGTCCGGTACCAGGAACCGAACTCACAACCTTGCGCTTGCCAGGCAGGCGCTTTGCTGCTGAGCTAAATCCCCAGCCCCAATAATTTGTATTTATTTTAACCTTTGGGGATGAAATTGAAAAATAATGTAATTCTGATATTGTTTTTTTGTTTTGCTGATGTTTTGAAGGGTGAGAAATTTAAATAATAGCTTTATTTTGGGTCAAGACATTTTTAAAGGTTCACTATTTGACTGAAGGGAACAATCTGTAAAAACTTAGTAAGTCTGCCGTTTTTCTTCACAGTGGTTAAGGCAATAATAACTAGAACCTTCCCTCCTCTTTGGAAAGTCAGTTTAGGATAAAATGCTCCGTAGGAAACAAGTTTCTACCTGTCATACAGTGGTTCTGAAGAGGAGGTAATTTTGTCTTCTAGTGGATATTTGGCTATTTCTGGAGATATTTTTGTTTATCACCACTGAGGAGAGCTCTAGTACACAGTGAACAGAGACCAAGGAGGTGGCTAACCCAAATACCCAGAGCAGTCCCACACAGTAAGGAGGTAGACAGCTCAAAACCTCACTAATATAAAAGAAAGCTTGTGCTAATGGAACAGACTTGGGAAAGGCAAACTATCCCAAAACCCATTTATCCCTTTTAGACTGTACTATCTGAGCTCTTGTCATGCAATAAACTTTGATACTCATCAATACATCTGTTAAAAATGATATCCTTAATGTGACTCAATTTCCTAAGTTTTCCAGGAATAGAAACAGAGGTCTACTGTGATAATTAATTAGTCCAGTAGATGCGATTACTAATTACATCCATTTTATCAGAATTAGATTGAAGAGTCTTCTAAGGTCAAACCAGTAGAGTGGGAAAAAACAAGGTAAGAAGGAAAAATTTTCCAGGAATTTATTAGACTCCCTTTAATGTCTCTTTAGCTAGAATTACTTCACAAACCCATGTTTAATGAAGTCCCTGGAAATCATGGTGCAATCACTGTGACTGGTTTAGGTTAATCATGGTTTTCTCTGTTGTGAAGAGCTTTTCTGGATGAACACACAACCAAAGGAAAGGTGACAATATCAATGTCTTATAACCAAGGAGTAAAAACATGAACTGGAAAATTAGTAGGTATATGAAATGACAAATACATGCTCTAAACATCTGGGATATAATCTGAAGAATAAAAGTTACTGATTAAATACAACATATATGTCATATGTGCTATACACAAGATGCAGATGTGATAAGACACACCATAGTCCTGTCCTTAAGGACAGAATCACCTAGGCAGGAGAAAAGGAGTTATACACAAACTGAGAGTATCCACGTACATATTCTAATTTTGAGGTTTCTTTTAAAATCCTATTACAACTATCTGTGAAGTAAGGAAAAAATTTCACTGATCTCTATCTGCTTCTCGACCTCCACTGGTAAAAAACCTCACATTTCCAGAAACCTCCCCTCTGATAGAGAAAAAATAACTAAGTAAACTTTCACTGCATTAGATATCATCTCTAAGTTTCAGGGAAAACAGAAGGGGGTCCATGGAATCACCAAAGTCACAGTGTCCTGGGCTACAACACTATGAAAAATCTCTAGCAATCAGTAAAATACACTTGTTTTGCACTTAAACTCAAAAGTGGTGACTATGAAGCTTTTGGCAAGGAATTAAATGCATCACAATTAGATTTGAAGGCAACAGAACAATGGTTCAAAGTAATTTATTGAAACCGACAAAAAAAGCAAATAAAGCCCGTAATGGGTATTTTTTGAAAGCAGAAAACTTAATTTTTACACCAAAATTTTATTCTATTTGGGTAAAAACTGGTAACTCCTCATGAACATTAATGTAGTTTGTTTCTACTCCTAAATTTTTCCTGGGATATGATAAGTTAATCACCACCTCACATATGCTCCAACATATATGCAATAATAAGAGAAAAGTAATTTAAAATCCTTTTTTTTAAACTTTCTGAATCTAGGAAAGTTAATTCTGAATATACTAAACAAGGAATAAAGTAATTAAAAATTTATGTATGAGTTTCTGAATTATATTTATGCTCACACACTGGAACCAGACAGGTACAAATACCTGAAAAAGCTCCAGAACACAGTAGGAATCAGGGAGCATGAAAAGAACTCTTAATCTGGTAACAGCCATACAGGAATCTGAGTTTTAAGAGCAGATTCCAACCATGTGTGTGTGAAAGAGGACAGCGCTGTGGGTGAGAGAAGGGGGAAACCACAGATGTGACAGGTGACATTGGAAAGCTCTCAACTGAGTTTAAGATCCTGAGTGGGTCGACAGTAGGCAGCATGCAGGCAGGCAGTGAGCACCAGAGGTGACGGAAGGTAAGGCTCTATCTGAATGATTATAATGGGCACGTTTACAACACTTGGATGAACACTTTTCCCTACTTCATTGTGATTTTCCTAATTATTTTCATAGTCTAGAATTTTGCAATAGTGGCTTATATAAACTCCTCACCTCAGTCCAATTTAAATTCACCTGGTTGTCAAAAAAAGTAGCAAAGCTCACTATGGTATCCCTGTTTGCTTTAAACTTTATTTTTTTGGGGGGGGGTGTTTCTCCGGTACCGGGAACCAAACTCACGACCTTGCGCTTGCCAGGCAGGAACTTTTGCCGCTGAGCTAAATCCCCAGCCCTGCTTTAAACTTTAGATGGCTCCCTTTAAACAAAGAATAATACCAAGCTTCCAGGAGTAACATATTGCCATTGCAGTCCTCTCTCCTTCAATCAGGCCTCATTTTCTACTAGTATCAGACCTGAGATTTATGGTTCTCCAGTTCAAATATATTAGAATTTCCGGTGCTCCTCTTACAAGAATCAACCCGAAGCACCTTATACAGGCTTTTTCTCCTTCTACAAAAGTTAATCTGTCTCTATTGTATGTTCTGTAATATTGTCCCAATTACTTTCCTGTCTATTGATACCCCCTTGCAAAGTAATCTAGAATGTCTTTCCATCAGGGCCTTTACTTCCAGGCCCCTTGAATCTTCACAGCACAGGCCAGGCATGGTGGCACATGCTGTAATTCCAGCACTTTGGAAAGCTGAAACAGGAGGATCGTGAGTTTGAAACTAGCCCGAATCTACACAGTGAGTTCAAGGCCAGCCTGGAGAATACAGTGAAATCTCACCTCAAAACAATTGAAAACAATATTTTTCCCTCTTACTTTACCAAGTACATGACAAGACCGTAACCAAAGACACTAGACACTCATAGCTTTCAGGAGTTACTGGGGGTAAATTCACATTGTAGTCTTTGCTTTAAAGGAAGAGAAAAAACTGAATATCCATAAGTAAATGCAAGATTTAAAATTAAGAATAATAGTACTGCTATCTTTTTTGAACCTAGATCAAAATCCGTCTTGATCATAACCATTTAGAATGAATTTTTGTTGGAGAGGGTGGAGAACAGATACTA